ACTTGTGACCGATTGAGTATGGGCTGGCTCCACAATACTAATTTGCTTTACAGTTCCTTCACTAACCCTTCCTATTCAGTAGGCTTCCAGCAGTGACCCTGAGGTCACAATTCGTCCTAGCATAAGTAAAGTCGTCGTATTCTTGTATTTTGTTTCTACACTTTGCTGCAGGAATTAATGTGTTTCTGTTTCTGAAGGCTGGCAGTAGGAAGTTTTGATATATTATTTAGGTTTTGCCTTGACGGTTTAAATGGTGAAGAAAACACACAATGAAACTGTGTCATCATTTATGTCTCTGAAACATTAACCATCAGTATACGTACCAGTATTTGTTACCATTCCTAGTCAGACATTACCGATTTAATTACCTTTCTATTTTACTGTCTAAACAAACATCTTTATGATCTAGATTTTCTTGGGTTTGGCGTATGAATACTTTGCTGCCATTTGTCACATAATATTCAACATAATTACCAGTCTGATGTGTAGTACGTATTTGCATTGTACGAATATACTTTCATACTTTAGATAGTGTTATGCCTTTATGTAAGTAACATTTAATGCTTTGTAAATATATGCCATGAACTTAAAATGTTAGAAACTGAAATTTGTTATTTTGTTTGAGATACTTTTATATTAGTTACTGTACTAAACTTTTGGATTTATTACACAAAATAATATTTTTGTATTTTAACTCTGGTCATCTGAGTTACGCCACGTACATTCGTCCAAAGCACAGGTAATCACCTGCATGACTAATGATGTCATAGTCCTGAAGAGCACAATTCACATTGTTATTCAATTCTTTAGAACGCCTCTTATTAGGGACAATTATTTATTTATTTGTTTAATTCCACTATGTGCTTTTGTTGTTTATTTCAGTTTTCTAAAGATGTTTGGGCAAGCTGTGAATTTTTATAAAAGTAAATTACTCATTTCATATGCGAGTGAGGGTACACGTGCCACGTGGCTCAGTATGTCAGATGCCATTCAACATGGAAGACAAACAGTTGGGTGTCATAGATGGTCGTGTGCAAAAGTAAAAAGTAATATATTTAGATCAGTAATAAATTCAGGGGATTGGCAAAGTCTGCAAGAAGTAGGAAACTGTTGTGCTAATTTAAAAAAAAATTCTATGTAAGTACTGGGAATACATGGCTACTTGGCGTTTGGTATTGTTTTTCTGTTTGCGTGAGTGTCGTAACTGGACGGATTTGTTTGGACCACGTGTAGTCAACTTGATGTTTTAATGCTCAACAGCTCATTAAGCATGAATGCCACTCCGTGCGGGTTCCATTCTGTTGACTTATCGGAAAGTGTCTGTAGCTATTTTTTAGTCTAATGTGATTCTTTGCTCTCTCTGCGGCCTCGCTGTAGGAATTTGCTCATGTGCCAGTAAGTATGCATGTGTCGTCTTTTGAGGACATGCATCACGCATGCTTGAACCGTGTTTGTGTGTTTTCTTAATGTTTGTCATTTGTTTTTGTATTTGTTGTGCAAAGGAGCAAATTCTGAAGTGCTCTGATCTCAGTTACTGGCAAGAAGGAAACATATGTCAGGATGAAACATTACTATTAGTGCTCGTTCTTGCTGTTAGATGATTGGGAATGAAGAAACTTTACTGAACCAGCCTCGGACCCATGCGAAGCAGGCTTAAAACCTCCTTTTGAAAATTACAGCGACAGCTTAGCCAGAGAATTTCAAGAGCTTCAAATACCCATGGAAACACTTATATTGTCAGATTGCATTTTTTACATTATTTTGTGCTACTAGTTGCCTAAGAATGGCTGTAGCACAGAATTTCCAGAGCACGCGCTGCTGTCGATTGGTCTGCTCGGAGTAACCATCTCTTACTGTTGGCCCATTAAACGATTTATTACTCATCCATTAATAAAGCTCAAGTCATTATCATAATCTGTAATGATATAATAGGAGTTACTATGACTTACTGTAATTCATTACCATCAGCTCTTGTTCACTGGTTTATTTGTTTAACCTATGCATATCAACTTGTAAGCTGTCATGATACTTTTACAATATTGTTTTGCATGTCAGTCTCCACTGTACAGCCTTCCACTTTCATGTAACCCTCCTGAATATTGTAAATAAAATCTTCTATATGGCATTTTTCGATATAACAACCTCAGATTTTAAACAATAATTACATTTTTAATTGTAATAATCAGTTCCCCTCAGTGGACTAATGGTTAGCATGCTCACCACTAGATCGCAAGGTTAGCGGGTTTAAACCCGGCCGAGATCGATGGATTTTTAAGGGTGATAGAAATCCGTGGCACAATTTCCTTTGTAGGGGAAGTGAAGCCGGCGGTCTCATGTTGTAAATTTACAGCATGTAAAAGAACCTTATGAGATGTTTCATAAGCAAAATTCTGCGGCCATTTCTCACACAGGTCTCTCCTGATTCTCTGCTAGGTGGCTCTAGCAGACAAATCAGAATTGAGTAGAAATTGTGCAGGAGCAGTGGACTGGTCACTCACTACTCACAAATGCACACTTCAAAGACAAGGAAACCTCCCACATTTGAGGAGGCCAAGGCCCGAACTTGGACTGTAGTGCCATTGGATGGGTGGATTGTAATAATCATCATCAGGCCTGTGCAATTTCTTACAATTTTAGTAGCCATCTCCAAAAAGTAGGTTGGAAAGCGCACTCTTTGGAGTACACCAAAATTCTAAAGGTGTTTTTTATGCCATGTCGCAGGTTTTGACATCAGCAGGGCAACCAAGGGGATTACAAGTCCAGCAATGGTTTCCAAAGCAACAGTGGTATTTAAAGTTTTGAAACAGTAATGTGATCCAATGTCACTGTTGCAAGAATGCAAGCTAACAGTGGCACCATTTCACATTGTACCAACAGTGATCTCAGGTCATGGGATGCTAGTTCCTAGGAAAAATGTGGCAGATGGACAGACAGACACGTGGATGGACGTATAAGGTGTTCTTTACTCGTGCTAGAGTATCGAGAAAAGCTACAAATTAGGTGCCAGAAAAAATATGTATGTCGATAAAATTCGCATAAAGATATTTGCCAACACTGATGCTGCTACCTACACAATGGAATTGAACTGCATGCCACAAGTTTGCAGATGCCACGTACTAATATGCAGAGATAGAAAATGTCAGAGTAATATGCATGAAAGTAATTCTGCAAGGAGTTGGTTTGCTGTTGGACCACAGACTGTACCATTTTGTTATTTGTGTGTTTTATAGGACTTGATGGTTGGTGATGAAGCCAGTAAGCTTAGGTCCATGCTGGAAGTGAACTACCCCATGGAAAATGGAATAGTTAGGTAATGTACTCGGTGCAGTATTTTGAGTGACATTTAAAAATATGTTGTTCTCAGTAAAATAGAATGTATTCAGATTAAAAGTTTGCTGTTGTGGTTGACACACTGTACAGTGTGTTAGGAATGTAATCTCCCACTCCCCTACTTTGTTTTGCTAACAAAAATCAGACCAGTTTTGTGAATGTTTAATGGTTTCCAGAATAATGTACTTTGCCTTATGCTACTTCATGTGACGAACCTCACATCTCCATGTAAGCCTTCTTGATCGGTAGGTCTGCAGTGGAACTCCGTGCTGTCATTGCTTATTTCAGTGTCATCATGTGATGTGGCGTTATTGTCGGGAGAAACTCAACAGACAGCAAAAAAGTATTTTACATCCAAAAGAAAATAATTACATTCATGATGGGCACTAAAAGGACAGACTCATATAGGAAATTACTTTAGAAATTTAATATTATTCCACTAGCCAGCAAATTTTCTCTCTTGTAATTGTCATTTGTAGTGGACAACAGAGACGAATTTCAAGCAAACTCAGATATCCACTACAGAAGTACAAGATACAGATATATCTGTCATGTGCCAAACACTAACCTCATTAAATATAAAAAAAAATTGTCTGCTGTACTGGAATTAAGCTATTCTGTAATCTGGGCTGTAGCATCATGTAACATGCAACATTTCAGAGAAAACCTCTGAAACACTGGTAAACTTCTACCAGACTACGCGGCGCTACGACCCAGAAGACGGCCATCTTTGGGCCACGTGTTGTTTTGCTTATTTGTGTTGAAAACTTGCTTTATCTACAGAAACTGGGAGGACATGTGCCATGTGTGGGATTATACGTTTGGTCCTGAGAAGATGAACATTAAGCCCCAGGAATGCAAGATCCTGTTAACTGAACCACCAATGAACCCTACAAAAAACAGGGAGAAGATGATTGAGGTAAAGGGGCTTAAATAAAACATTTTTTAGAATTTTGTCATATGACCATTTTAGTTGGCTAAAATTTATTTTTTAAAGTGTTGTGCTTAATATTTCTTGGATTGAAATGCCGTATGCAGAAGTAAATATAACAATGTAAAGTTTACTTTTATGGTACCTGCAGCATCTCGTACATTGAAACAGAAAAAGACATTAAGGTTTGCATAATCTTAGTAAAAGCAGGTTTTTGTATTTTCAGGTGATGTTTGAGAAGTACCAGTTCGCTGGAGCATACATAGCAATTCAGGCGGTTCTCACTTTGTATGCACAAGGTCTGTTGAGCGGTGTCGTCGTGGATTCAGGTGACGGCGTCACACACATCTGTCCAGTGTATGAAGAATTTGCTCTTCCTCATTTAACCAGGAGGTTAGACATTGCAGGGAGAGACATCACTCGATATCTTATCAAGGTGAATGTCTTGAAGTCACATATCTCTGCAACCCCGGAGCCAGGGTAGCTCAGTCTGTTTTGTGACTGACTACGAAGTGGACGACCCGGGCTCGTTCCCCCAAAAGGGGCAGGAGGATATTTCGTCTAGCCTCTGCATCCAGACTGGCTCTGGGGCCCGCCCAGCCTCCTATCTAATGGGTACCCAGGGGCCTTTCAGGGGGTAAAGCGCGGCTGAGGTGTGATGCTGACCACTCACCCCTATCTAATGCGGAGGTTAAGAATGAATAGGAGCTATATAATCTATGTAACCCCAGAATGTAATTTATAGTGTCGCAACTTTGAGAAATTCTGTTTTGGTGAACAGCTTTGTTTGAATTTTCATGCAGTTGGCTCTATCATGTGTCAATCTAATGTGTGAGGAGCAAGTAAAAGCTTATACCTGCCTGTCCCGTTCTTTGTGCCACGGCTTCTGTTCTGCTTCTGCTCCCACTCCCAGGGAAGCTTTGAATAGTTGTAGTTTGATGGTAAAAATGGTGTCCCTAAGTTGGTATGTATTAAAAATGCTATATGGCACGACAGGAAAACACTTAAGCGACCTTTATGCCCGTATCACATACCAGAAATCAGAACAAAGTCATGTAACAGTTCTTCATAAATCATTTGAAAATGAGGCAGAGGACAAGTACTTGGAGCTTTTGTTATGTAATTAAGAGAGAATTAAAATTGAAAATGTTCGCTACCATTAAACCTACTCTTTTCGTTTTCCAATGCTTAATGCAAAAAACTTACAGATTCATGTTCACGTTGACGCTGTGACTTAATTCTGCGTCTTTTCAGCTGTTGCTGTTGAGAGGGTACGCTTTCAACCATTCAGCAGACTTTGAGACTGTCAGGATAATGAAGGAGAAGCTGTGCTACATTGGATATAATATAGAAACAGAACAAAAGCTGGCTCTCGAGACAACTGTTCTTGTGGAACCTTACACAGTAAGTCTCTTGAATTATTGAGTAAACTGTGAAGGAAAATTTTAAAAGGTAGATTTTATCTAATTTTATATTATATAGAATCATTTATTAAAAAAGTAGCTACTACTTACCATTTATGTGCTGAAGATCGTCACTGTATGTGGTGTAGAAGCCATTTGCCACACTGCTTAAGTTTAGTGTGCCCTTGCATTGTCTGATGAAATAATTTAAATGCCATTTATACCCATTTATACTTTTGTTTTATGTAGTTAATTGCATCAGAGGACATTTATTTAAAATTAGTACTCTGTACAGTGTTAATATTTCCGTCGTGGATGACAGACTCATAGTGGGGTACTCAAACAACCCCAGAGGATTTTGGAATACTTGTAGTAGTTTTTGTGTTTGCTCAAATATATTGAATGAAGTATCTTAATTTTAACTCAGTATTTGACAGTTTAGACGAATTCTGTTATATATACATTTTAATAAAACTGAGAAAAGAACCTGTCGTCCGTACCAGAATACACAGTTTCCACACGTACCCTTTGAATGTCTGTTGCAGCTACCAGATGGGCGCGTGATTAAGGTTGGTGGGGAGAGATTTGAGGCACCAGAAGCCTTGTTTCAGCCACATCTTATAAATGTTGAAGGACAAGGTAAGTACCACCACATTCCAAAGAATGTGACACAAAAATATAAAATATGCAAGCTATCTTCTGTGTGTATAGCATTAGAATTTTTGTAAGATGTTGAGACTTGGATACGCACGTGGATGAGAGAGGGAGGGAAGGGACTTGGAAGTTGGTTCAGGTTTGTTGATATCCTTGTCTTTATGTCACCTGGTAACAAAGTTCTAGTACTAAGTTACTGTGGTGTTTAGCTTTTCACTGGGTTAACAGAACATCTTATGTGCTTATATATATATAAAATTCTGTAAGCATTCTTGGATGATTGATATTGTGAGTGGACAGAAGCGCTGAAGGAGCCATACCACCACTCATTCAAAAGTTACTATGGTCTTGAATCTGTCAAACATAAATATCTGCGACAGTAAGAGTTCTGAATTCCTCACTTGCCTCATAATTGGTTGCAAAGTTGAGGGTAGGAGGTACACAGCGGAAGTTAATGTTTTTTGCATTACTAATGTTTCAAAGGATTTTGGCAAAAAAAAATTTCTTCAGAGCATGATGTTTGGCAAGAGACATTTACAAACAAGTCTCATTTCTAATGACGGTAAGACATTTAAGATGAGAAGAGAATCGTTCGGTTCCGTTTTTGCTCTGACCAAGAGGAATCTTGCAGGTTTGAGTAAGAAGTAACCGAGTGGTTAAGTGTCGACTCATTTCAAGCGTAAACGTCGTTTACTAGAGGGTTTACTGGGATCATCTTTTTGCAAATTAACATTTACGTGACTTATATCCACAGGCAGGTGGTCCTGTTTGTTCTTATATTTTGTGTCCTATACTTTTGTTGTGGGTTTGTGTTGGGGTTATATATGCAGTGAAATATCAAGAATGTAGTGAGCACCTGTGAAATGTGGGATATTGTTGTGGTATTCATTTCAAAACTCTGGGAAAATGTACACAATTACCTTGTGTATTTAAAGTGTTACATTTTATTATTTTGTGTGAATCGCTCTTTTCATTTTGGTTGTCAGTTTCTCACATGCCATTGTATGTCTGGTTATAGGCATTGCAGAATTGGTATTTAACACAATTCAAGCTGCGGACATTGACATGCGAACTGAGCTGTACAAGCATATTGTGTTATCTGGGGGCTCAACTATGTATCCTGGATTACCAAGCAGACTGGAGCGCGAGATCAAGCAGCTGTACCTGGAACGAGTGTTGAAGAATGATATAGACAAGCTATCGGTACAGTTCAGAGCGATTTCTGCTCCGCATCGGTTTCTGTTAACACTAAGATATCTGTATGCAAAATATACTCTTAAAGAGTTTAAGTAAACAGTTGTTTCTGAATAAACAACTCCTTTTCAAAATTTCAGATCAAACTACAATTAGACTATTATTTCTCTTGTAATTTTGTCTCATATTTAGGCTTTATTTTAAGATAAATAAGTGAATACTAAATGGCATCATTAAATGTGTAGTTGGGTAGGTCTAGTACATCTTCCCGTATTTTTTCTTCTTTGTTGACAGAAATTTAAAATTCGCATTGAAGACCCTCCGCGGCGTAAGGACATGGTATTCATCGGTGGCGCTGTTTTGGCTGAAGTGATGAAGGACCGGGACTCGTTTTGGGTGTCCAACGAAGAATATCAGGAGAAGGGTGTTGGTGTGCTCAAGAAGCTGGGAACCAGAGCCAGCTAAAATGACATATACAAACAGTCGTTTTTCTGAGTAGATGATTGTAAACTTGCACAACTTGAATCTTTTTTATATAAAACTTGTGTTGCATTGCCTGCATTAGCATCCCTTATCTGTAAATAGCACACTTATACTTATCAACAGTATCACAAACTTGCACAATTATGCAGTTTGGTGTGTCACTGAATGTTTAGGATTTTACATAGGTAATGAAACCAGTCTTCATTATGTATGCAGAACCTGAACAGATACCAGGAAAGCAGAGCGGTTACCTCACTTCTTTAAAGTCTATGTGGTAATGTGTAAAGACACTACATAATTGATTGACAGTAGAGACTTTTTTTCAAAATTGTAAGTTCAAACAATTTAGGTAATTATTATATAATTGTTCTCCTATCTACAAAAATTGGTCTTAAGTGCTTTTGCAAATATTTATCTGTGTTAAAGATGCTACTTTACATTTATCTTGATAAACTGAAGAAGAATGTTTATGAAGGTGAAAAAGTCACTTGAATGTGTGGCTTTATGTTAATGCATTTAAAAGCACACTGTAATAAAATGCCAGAGTTCTGCATTGTCTGAAGAAGGAGTGATGTGCTAAACTAGAGATTTCCTGTGCTGGCAGTATTAAAACCTACCCAGTAGATGGAAAGACCGTGATTGTGACAGCGAATGTGTAGAGAAGTACTGTCAAAAATTCTTTTCTGCATGATTCCCGAGTTTTTTGACGTATTTTCAATTGAGGATTCTTCTACATACTGTAAGACTAACTTCCCAAGGGAAATTGTTCCTGAACCAATTCAACCTCTGTCTGTTCTAAAATCCCCTGTTATGAAGAAAGATTCTTCACGATCATCACGTGGGTCTACCAGTTGGAACCTGTGCAGAGCCATTTCCTTTCTGTTTTGCTGTTTGATTTGCACACCTAAAAAGTGACCATCTACTGGGAATCAGAAGTAACAGAACTTGGTAGTACTGGCAGTATATATGTGCTTAAATCTACACAAAATTCATGCATGGAAACATGTTTTTTTATCATCACGCATTTATATCAGTCATTTTCATTACCCCAAAGCCCATCTGTGTTTTCGCACCACTGAAACATTCCCATTGGCTGTATCCAAGTAGTCACTCGCTGACTCAAAGCTTATAGTAAAGTTTATATTGTTCTGCAGTCTGTTGCAGTAAGATAAAACTGGCTGTAGCATTAGACCTTGAAATTTAGTTTGCACTGAATGTTCACACGAGCTACTCGGGCACCCACCGCCTAGTGCATCATGTGGCCTGGAAACGTGTAAAATATTGTAATTGTGCAAGTGGAAGTGAAGTGCTTCTGACTTGTGAGTCTGATGGGAGTGATTTTCTTCTGTGATTAACTTGGTAAGGAAATTGAAGAAGAAACAGATTGTTGCAAGAGCAAAGAGACCCAGGTTGTGAGAATTTTCAACACGTACCCAAACCTGATGATGGCCACATTGGGCTGAAAGTTGATCTTAAAAAGAATAAAACTGTGAACACTTTGTAAAAGTGACTGACAGGAATTGGACATAACGCATCTGGATGCTACGCTACAAACTTAATAAATATAATTATATCAGATTAAATTTCACATTCTTCTTAACATTGCCAGAAAATTTCATAAAATTCTTTTCAACAGTTTTTAAAATAGGTGAAAATTAAAATTTCTCTGTAAACATACTCCATCACGGTTGAGGGGTCTTTTAAGTACCACTACAGTGTGTAACTGGTTGGGATTTCAGATACCGATTTGAAGGGTTAAAGCTTCCAGCTAAAAGAGCAAACATTACCTATGATACAAAGATGTTCTTCCTTTCCCTTTCAAGTGTTTACTATAAGTAACTACCTAAATTTGAAGATGAAATTAGAATTATAATTCTTATAGGTTTGGATTCTTAATAAACAGATTTTTTTACTGTACATTGTTTGTGAATTTTTTGCAAGTTTGCGTATGAAAGGTCAGGGGGAAGTGGATAAGCTATAACACTCAATAGGATTGGAGATGCATCAGTATTTAATTGTTGGTGATCTTGGTTGTAATGCCACGTGTTTCAACCCAGAAGACGAACATAATTTTTACCACTGTATTTCAGTTTTATATTCCCCTGTACAAGAAGTCGTCCTCATTATAAAAGCTACGATGAGACAGCAGTGGAGTTTGCATCAACTTCCCACTTTTTAAACAAAGTGTATAGGACTTTCAATTTTGCTAAAGATTAATGATAGATACATGTTAACTTAATTTTATTAGGAGGCAAGTGCTGTGTATCTATGCTTCTGGTTGTTTTTTATAATATGACATTAATTTATGTTACATTTTGACAATTTTTGCTTCTTTAAAAGTGAGTCAGAATTAAAGATAATGTAGGAATGTTTTAGGCTGTTATGAAGAAAATAACTTGAATTCACTTATAACCTGTGTATGATTTTGTGTGTTAATTTCTTTTATCCTGCTTTGTATTATTTTAGCAGGTTTAAATTCCCTTACTGTGGGTTGCTGGTTGGGCTTTAACTCCAGGGTTTGGTGGTATGCTTGTGCAATGTATGGCCAAATCCATCATACATAAGTTGTGGTATGTGGCTGATAAAGGTTAAAAGCAGAATTTGCTGTAATTCAGGAAAGCGTAATTATATATGACAACTTGCAAAGCACTGCTATTTGCTTGTGCACTGCATCATTTGCTGAAATATGAACGTGCTTGAGAAAGGATAACATTCATGATACCTCTTGTTCAGTACAATGGACATTTGTAACTGTGTTTAGCTAGGCCATGTCCATATTTTTATGTGTCTGATTTGGAAGTTCCATATTATGGCATTCCAATGCCCTATTAGAGTTTGATTCTAGTGTTTTTGGCTGACTTTTTTTGAAAATATGTAATGGTACTGGAATAATGTATTTAAACCCCTTGTTTTTCTGCTTGTTATGTGTTACAGACTTCAGGATAAAATAGGTTATAGTCCATTTCTGACTGTTAATTTCGTTTTGTATTATCCAAGTTCACAAATACAAGTGAAAAACCCCAAAATACATTTATAATTACATTATACACATCTGTCTCCTTGTATTTTATGTATGGCAAAACTGTTTTACATTAGGTTAGTGCTTTAATTAGGGTTTTTGGTTTTCGTTAGGTCTGGCTGCCTATTCTGTTAGGATTTCAGTGAAAAAGGAATATGGTTCATAGCACTTTAGTATGGTACTGCTCAAAATGTCATACTATCATGCTACTAACCCGCAATACGTCAAGAAACTATAAATGCCAAGAATATACAACATCCCAATGATAATTACATATTATCTGCTAAACACTCAGGAAACGGATGTCTCATATCGTCAGAACTTTTCCCTAAACAGTTTTTTTTTCAGGCCAGTTAGAAACAATGCAGTGGTGTCAAATGTAGGCAGTGAACGAAAAATAAAATTTCTCCTACGTGAAACTAAAGTATGCAACTTGACTTAGATGAACTTAGCGTAGCTAAAGTGACCATGAAAGATTCTAAAGAATCACCTTTGCCGTATGAGAGTATAATACCCACATTTTATAATCTGTGCTAACTGTAGCTGATATCTGCAGTTGTACAGAATAATAAGTAATTCAAGATAAGTACCAAAGAAAAATTTTTATATCTGAGTGTAGAGAGTAGATTTCCGGTTATTAGTAACATTTATTTACGTACCAACGAATAAGAATGAAGTCATTGCTGATATGAGTATCAGCTCTCGAATTCATGCTCGTGATGTGATATTATTATATGGTATGTATTTTAGCCATCGCGTCATTTAGATAGCTGAAGGTGACGTGGGTACTTATGAAACACGTTGAAGTTACTTTTTGTATTGTTTATTAAACGATTTTACTTGTTTCATTAAGAATTCACATATTTGAATACCAGTGAAACGTAATTAGAATATGCTTTAACGTAAGTAACAGTAAATTCCATGTCAGTAAACATTTATCTAATGTGTTTTCTATTCATAATGGTCTGAAACAAAATGCATTGTCGTCACTGATTTTCAGCTTTGTGTTTGTATATGCATTAGGAGCATGTGCTGATGAGTTCGGTGTGTTGGTCTAAAATATATGTCATAATTAAAGCAGATGCTAATAGGTTGGAGTTGGGATGCTAGGAATTGAAAGCAACAAATCAAGAAGAGCTCTGCTCCATGGAATTACTTGGTCTGTGTACTTCATAACTTGTCACCCTTTTCTTGCAGACATCCATGCCCTGTTTTCCCAAGCGTCTTGTTTTTGAAGCTGTTCCAAACCATTTAACATATACAAGACATTGTTCATTTCTCTACACTTGTTATTGTCAGTTCTCAAATATGAGTAGGACTGGTTCACCATTTGAAGATGAAGTCTTACAAAAAGAGAAAGGTAAGAGAGCTGTTATTTTAGTATTGAACTGGTGCACAGTTACCCAGCATAATGAATTTAAAGCACATAATCATTGAAGAACAATCTGTATATGAAAATGTTTTTTATATTTATGTATTCCCTCCTCCTGCTTGCTTCAGATAAGTTTCTGTCTATGCCACTGGAAGAGAAGCGTAATCTTTACAAGGATTCCACTTACTACACATGTGATAAAATAGAAACTTGGCAAGATTATTTTTTGAAGGCAAAGGAGCGCCTTCAGAAACAGTGTAAGTTATTCGTACATTGTATAATGAAATATTTGAAATTATTGTATTTCTTGTATAAAGAATTTCTTTTTGTTGTGATTAAACATGAAATGATTCATATGTGCCTGCACATAAATTCAGTTAAGCACACTGAATTTTAATCTGATTTTGATTTTCTCATTTTCTGAGGGTTGTGACAACAAAGTCTCATCATTTTGTAGTGTTTGATACATTATTTTTGTGCTGATGTGATAATTCCGTTGTTTTTATTCTCATTAATGGAGATCCTAATGAAAAATTGGTTTCATGATGGACAATAACAGTTTTTTTTAAATATTTCAACCATAACTGTTTAATCTTGTAAATGCTCAAATTGGATGCTGCTGAGAAACTAGCACAGTACAGAAAGTACTAGCAAAAATGACTGTTGCAGTGAGTTCCAACAAGATTCGAGCCGTAACGCAAAGTCTCGGCAAAGATTAGTAGTTTCAGAGTCTAGATTAACATTGTGAGAAATAATAATAGCATGAACGATTTACCTTCGTAGAATTACAAAAATAATGTGAGACAGGATGGTTATTAGTAACGCATTGAGTGTGCGTCATTTTCGTAACACAAGAAGTAACCAGTCTGAGATCAGTGGTTGGGGGCATCTACATTGCAATGAATGATGCCCCGTACCTTTACTTCTCATATCTCAGACATTATTCAGTGCAGATGCTGAAAGCCGTATTTCATTGTTTTTTTTCAGTTTTTGACACATCTAGGAACAAAGGGCCTGGAAATTTCTATTCTGTGGATCCTGAGTTAAACAAAAAGGTGTCATTATGGCAAGGAAATATTACCCATTTGGAAATTGATGCTATAGTGAATGCAGCTAATTCAAGGTTGCGTGGAGGTGGGGGAGGTGAGAAACAAAATGCATTTTGAACTGTTCTTTTATTATTCTTAAACCCACTCCTTTGCAATATTTTTCTTGAATTTGGTGTACGTAAGAAGCTAGTCAGGCTAATTAAAATGTGTTTAAGTGAAACCTCTACTATAATTGTAGATTCTTCTGCGTTATATGTTTTATCAGTCATGAGAAATATAACGAGGTGTCGTAAAATATTTTTCCTTTTTTTGTGGAAAACTAAAGGTCAAAAGAGTTGATCCCGATCAAACAGTTCTGATTCTTCATGTTCGGTCAAAGCGTCTTACCTGACCCGTGGCACTCGATACTCATTGCAACTTTCCTAACTGCAAATAGTGACATTGTTCAGTTCGTTGATTATTTCATGATGTGTTTAATGATTGCTGCAGTGGATGGTGCTATTCACTCTGCAGCTGGTCCCTCGCTGAAGGCTGAATGTGCTACTTTGGGTGGATGTGATGTTGGCAATGCTAAAATTACAGGAGGATATTGCCTGCCTGCAAAACGTAAGTTTTTAACGCCGTTCTAAACATCAGCCTTTCACTTAACTCTTTTGCTCTTATGGACAGAACAGTCTTGCCAGGTTTGCAGGGCTATGTATTATTATCATCCCTTTTAAGGCGTTCTGTGCGCTGTAGCATGAGCAGAAATCACTTTATGGGCCTCTCTGTATCTGCCTTTAGTCTTGCTTTTCGTAGGAGGTAGGCAGCCTACATTACTGGAGATCATTGTTGCAAAAGAAATGGAATCCTGTTGTTGTTGTTTATTTCCGAGACTTTCCTTTGCTGGGTTGGAGATCACTCTGCCGCTAGTGTATCGGGTTTCATCGTCGAGGCCTCAGGAGCCTACAGCACTGCTCCCAAGAAGCTTCTCGGTCCTCATGCTTGGCCACTTATGGGGATGCACCCCTTGAGGGCATCTCCAGGTACTCCAGTCTTCTCAGATAATGCTTGTAACCTGTTTCCTAGGCCTGCTGATACTTTTCCTTCCTTTAAGTTTATATTTTGATAGTTTGTTTGCTGTTCACTCCTCAGATGTTCTAGCTATTTGGGATAACCAGACTGCCTTCATTTTAAAATATATTCATTAACAGATTCTGTTTTGCTCTATTTCAGTGCTTCCCAAACCTGGGTAAATTACCCAAAAATGCGTAAAGTGGTTTTTCTTTGGGTAACGACACACCCATTTCTGTGTGACTTGACTGAAATCCCCGATAGTGTTAATGGGTTTGCAGAGCAAATGATGGAGCTTAGGTCGAGCAGTCAGTGCAAAATGTTATTTGAAGGAAAAAGGGCCATTTGGAGTCTTTCTGGTTAACAATTCACGATGAATATCCTGTGGTAGCTGGGGAGGCCGTGATGAAATTATTGCAGTTTCTGAGCACCTGCATGTGTGAAGTAGGATTTTCCACTCTTGCCTTCGTAAAGAGCACAAAACGAAACTGTTTGCTGAACCCCGAATACGACGTGAGGTGTACTCTGTCTCCAGTTGCTCCCAGTTTTGCGGAACTAGCAAATAAGATGGAGCAGTAGCTGGTACCTGGGTGATGAAATATTCACGGTGAATAACTACCAAATTTTTTGTGGCTGCTAAAATGTTTAAAGAGGTTTAAAATAAAGACATTGCATCAGACTTATTGCTCGCTTCCTACTTTTTTACTGATCTCTCTTCACTTGTTCTATATGTTTTCTGTGCAGTTAGTTTGGGTAAAAAGGACTTTGTGATATGTGAGAATTTGAATTCCCTTGACCAGCCTCTTAACTGCATTAAATTAGCATTTAAGTGTTTGAAAGTGCAGAGAATCACATAACAAATTGTAGTCTAATCACTGCAATTTTTGAACCTTAGAATCTTCGAATAAAACGTGGACTCTTTTGGATGAATTATTTTTGGCCCGTATTAAATTTCTAAAATAATTATTTTATATTATATTATAATGAGACGAGCAGATCAATTTACGTATCTTTTTTATTTTAATGTCACATTTTTTGTTCAATTGATCTTTCTTAAATTTTGAATGCCTGGTTCAAAATAACTCAATTGTCTTATGAATTGAAAATGTGAGAATGATTGAGATTGATGAAGTGGAAATAATGTGAAAAGAACTTGTGTATTTGAAGGTATTGGCCCAGCATGTACCTGGAGCGATTGATTTAAACAGTGAAAGTTCTCAGAGTAGTGAGCCTTCAGGCTGAGAATTGAGCCTGGACACCCCTGAATACAAAGCAGAATTCTGAATCACTCGCAAGCAGTTCCTGATACCCATTACGTACACCTCTTATATTGTCTGTAGCAACTGACAGTGCATCTCCATTCCCAGATGTAATTCACACCGTTGGACCTCAGGGTGAAAATTCGGAGAAGCTGGAGTCTTGCTACAGGACTTGTCTCCGGGTACTCGTTAGGAAGCAGCTGCGCAGTGCGGTAAGGTCCTTTGGGTACAAGGTCTGACAAGTAACTGGACTGATTATGTTGGAAGGTCACCATCTTTTAGTGAGGCTGTGACCTGATGTTACACGACATAATTTTCTGTGAGTGATTCCATACTGTCGTCACAGTGCTTTAAGACTTTAAAGCCCAATCATGACTACGTGTATTAGTTGCGTCCGTCCATTTTGCCCACGGTGTTTTTTTTGGGCTTCTTATGTTCTCAGTACAAACAATAATTATTTCCCTCCACCTTACGTTAAGTTAATTGTCATATTGTATTCCTCCAGCACTTCAACGGGCAGGTCCCCTGCTTGTTCGGTTACCTGATGCTTTAGACTTGTTTCTTGCTGATTTGGTGCATTGCTTTGTGTCTTGGGTAGCAACTGAGCACCTGGTCTGACGCATTTCCTTGCTTGCTGCAGTGCACCAGCGTAAGTGCCACTGCCAGTACTAACGTTGCTGTCTGTACGTATGAATAATTCAGATTGTGATAAATCCGAAGACAACTGAAGTATTCATTGCTGAATCTAAGTACTTGTCTGTCGATATGAGTATTGGAGAAGATTTTTAAACGTAAGGAAGAAGTGCATGCTGTATTTTTTGGCCTTTCAGGACAAAACACAGAATCACTAAATATTGATAGAAGTGGTCTGCAGATTAAATACAAATTGTCTGGCAAAGAAAATGTATTTACGGGACTATCAGAGGATAGAGCCAGATATCATACGTGGTCAGTGGCCCATGAGTGTGAGAAACTATCAAATTGTTGGAGATATAATAACCTTTGTTTATGCCTTTTAAACCCTCTGGCACGTGATTATGGTCCTGTATTAACAGTGATTTTCAATACCAGAGCTAGGTTAGGGTTTGCTGTAGCCAGCATTTACGCTGCTAGGATCTAAAATCGTATCTTTATAAGTTAATGTATTTGCTGTTTTTTTTGCTTTTTCAGGCATTTCCTTGTATATCAACAGGAATTTATGGTAAGTTCCAAATTTGTAAAATAAGATCCCATTAAACTCTCTATAAACACTTCTTTCTTCCATACTCACGCACATTTTATTTACGTAAGAGTGTCGTAAGTAATGTGCAATGGAATTTTATTAATATATTCCTCATTAGACGGTGTTCCATTGTTTGTTCAGCGTTTGTGGTCTCGTTTGTACAATTACAACAGACGGTTCATTGTATAATAAATGCTTATTATATCTGATCACAATCTTTTGTGTCTAGTTTTTGTCCTGCATGGAAAACATTTAAGTCAGGAATCTTATGGGAAACGCATTTAATACCATTAGCCTAACTTTCGCGATGAAGGTAGTGAATGTGAAGTTCTTTTTTCTAAACAGTGACATTTTCTGTAAAAGTTATTCATGTCACTGCTCTGAAATTTCAGGTTACCCTCAAGAAGCTGCTGCCCATGTTGCTTTGAAAACAGTGAGAAATTTCCTGGAAGAAAATCCAAGTTTGGTAAGGCATTACAATATTTTATAAATTCTGTGCAAGCCAAATTGTTTTGGCATGCATGCCACTTCTCTACAGTGATGCAAAGTTGCCTGTGTCAGAAACTCAACAGTCCAGTACATCGTAATGGACGTTTCCACTGATGGCCATGGTCCAGCACTGAGATTGAGCTTTTTATGTTACCATGCTTTGGGCAAGTGCTGCATTTTTAGGTACATTGCATCCTTGGGGATTGGCACCCATATCTCCAGACCTCTACCGCGTGGATTTTCATCCGCTGAGGCACGTGAAAAATTTGTCGTAGCAGCAAAAAGTGAAAACATGAGATGAATTATTCCTTCGCATTTTGGATGCTGCAGTCTGTGAGCTGCACATTTGATTCACAGACGTACCAAGATGTGTTGTGGGGCTGAGGGTCCATTTTGAATAAAAACTTAATGCCAGTCTTTCTAATATTCAGGTAATGATAAAGCCACAACCTCTGAGAATCAGGCCCATGTTTATATGATACTTCTGACTGGAAATGACCCCAGTAATAAGCTCCTCAAGTTGTGATCACTCTGTATAACTACTAATACGATGGATAATCCTCTGTCCTGATGATGTCATTACCTTTGATGGCTTGATGACAATGTCACATATACTTTGTTGTTTGCATTACTGTTGAGATTTCAGCCGTGGAATAGTCACTTGACCACTTATTTTTATTAATTTCCTTATTGTGTTTATTATGGGAGTGTATCTTTCTTCTGCAGATTGATCGAGTTATCTTCTGCCTGTTCTTAAAAGAAGATGTGAAGACTTACGAGAACTTAATGCAAGTGTATTTCCCTGTAGAGAATACAAAAACCAATTTGTGATAACGGGAGTAAATATGCCAGTTGTATTAAGTTGTGGCTGCAGTGTTTGCTCTGATTTCAGCTTTATTTTCTTTCTTTTTATAAAATTCAATACAGATGCCATTACAAGAAGCTGGCAGACTATAAATTCAGCACTCACGTTCATATTAAATGTTAGTCAGTTTTTACAAAGAACTGTTAAAAGCTGTACATAAAAGGTTGTAGGTGGGTGAAAATGTTATTCATAAAGTAACATAATACAACATATTCTAAGATGATAATTTTCTGTGATAACCCTGTGTTACTTTTCATAACTATTGAAGATCTTTTTCAGATCATATGGTGATTAAATTTGTGCATTTGTGTTGGATTTGTGGTCAGAATATCGAGAATTTGAGATTCCAGTCTGTGCATTATCATCTTGTCGTGTTTTCTGAAGTATAAAGGAATAAAAGAAAATTTGATTTACTGTCGCTACAGATGGGTTCAGACATGTGCCTAACCCCTGTGACTTGATTTAAATGTTTTACTTTTGTAATTCTCAAGTTGTGTATTGCGTAGCGTAATATTTCTGGACAAAGATGAAATGAAATGTGGTTGAAAGTCAAGATTTGAGTCCAGCAAGTCAAAAGTCAACCGCCAGCTTGGAACCGAGATTGTCGTATGCCATCTGCTTGACCTGTTGCATGCATGATGGGCATGAGTGCAGAGCACTTGTGAAAAGTTGGCACGGGAAAATATTTGCAGCCTGGTATCGACTGCTGTCACATCCAGGGGTGTCTGCAAATAGAAACAAGTACACTGTGGGCTGAATGACCAAGGTTCAGTTCCTGGCAATGTCAAGAGATATTTCTCTTAACTGCCACATCCAGATTGGCTTTGGGACCACTCATCCTATTCAGTGAGTATTATGAGCTCTTTCCTCAGAGGTTAAGGCAGCCACTCTCCTCCATCAAGTGTCAAGGTCAAGAACAAGTGGAGCTGTACCTCCATTTCTTCATATGTTCTTTTGGTGCTTAATATGCATCAAGCCTGCCTTTTCCTTTCCCTGTACAAAAGACATTCAGAGACCCCAGCCGTTTACTGCAGTGTGGATTTTTCTGGTGGATGTGACTAGACCAGTGCCCCAATGCCTTCTCATCTGACACTATTTGTGTCCGCTGTTGCATTGAGGAATTTTGTGTTCTACCGGTGGTACGCGTACTGCTCTTTGGTAAACACTGAGTAACGGTATAGAGTCGAACAGGAAGATGGTGGTGCAGCATTAATTCATGTGGATATGGAAGGAAACTACCGTGCAATATACCTTGGGCTGAGGAAAACCAGGAAGGCTGGTTGCCATGTTTGTTCCACATGGCAGGATGCTAAAAAAAAGTTGACAGTGGAACCACGGTAAATATGTCTATACAGAAGGGTCATTCGGCAAAACAGCGTTAGGAAAATATGTAAGATCCATGCCAACAAGGTGTAAATATGGACCGACAATGGTCAGCTTTTATATGAACTGCGTGTATAACAATGCTTTACCTAAGAAACCAATTGTTATGTCATCTGTTTATTCGGCATCGTTGTGTTTCATTACTGCCATCAACAATCCGCTTTCGTTATTGCGGTAAGAGCTGAGCTGTGAATCGCTTGCAGAAGAAGTGCATCGTAGACTAGATAATTTTGTGCTGGTAAAAACGTTTTAGAATATCACAAGTACTTATCTTATATAAGAATTATTCATTAAATGTCATTACAGAGACGTATTTACGTCAGATTCTCCGGAACCGTGGTTCCACTGTCAACTTTTTATGTGACGTTACATTACTAATTGGGTTAGGATTTGTTTTATGGTATGTCAGTATATGGTCTTATACAATACATGGATCACCTATCAGTAAACAAGTATTTCAGACATCCCAATGACAACAGTATGTTATCTGTTGTACCCTTATACTTTCCATCGGACCGGTGCAAACCAATACACGTGTGAAACGATTTAGGTTACAATGTAGGCACTGAAGAAAATCCCTCGTAGGTGGTAATTACCTATGCGTGAACTTACAGTAAGCAAGTTGACGAGGACGAAGTTCCTGTAGATTAAATGGCATGTACTTAAAATGGCTGTAGATGACCTGACACACACCCAACTTTGAATATGATCGTGACATCCTGGAAGGATGTTGGTACAAAAAAAAAAGACACTACATCACTGAAGATGGTCATTTTCATTAGGCACGTGTTCATATTGTATGTAAGTTTAGGCGAAAATGCACAAATTTCTTAAAGCTTCTGATGCTGTTTACATGGTGCTATCAGAAAATCTAGTAGTAAAGGGTTATAACTTCACATAATTAAAGAAGGCTGGTAAGTTGTAATTTGTACCGGAATGCACAGGCTCTATGATAAGAGTATTTATGCGGTTTTACGGCGGTTAAAATATGTAGTCTTGTAGGTGGTTACCTATTCTGAGTAACATATCCTCAGAGTAACCCCCAAGGTAACTTTGATATGGGCCAGCAGGCAATCTTGAGGTTTTACATGAGTTTATAATTAAAAAGAAAAAATGCTACATGCGTGCATAGTAGTACGTTTTTAAGGCTACATAGGCTGCATGAACCTAATATGCGTTACGTATACCCATGATGAAATTAAAGATTTAAAACATTCATATAAGAACATGAATGGATGGTTTTGTTTTAGTGAGCCTTAAAATTGATTTAAAGGAGGGTGGGTTTCGATATAAAAATTGCATTTTTCAGGTTGGTTACATTGCTGATTATTGTCGTCTGGGTTATGATGCCGTCTGCCTTATATGTGGTTTTCAACGTTTCATAGGAATATCACCTACATCTTAAGAGTGGTTGACCATAACTCATTTGACGCAGATGACTACACTCGCAATGTATTTTCAAACGGGTAGTAGGTAAGGCACGGTGACGTCAAGCCTTGTAGCCAATCAGAGAAAAATGTTTCGAGTTGCGCACTGGCAGAATTTGTCGTGAGGGCAAGAAAATTCGGCCATCTTGGAATGAAGTTTTGTAATGAGTTGAGTTGGGAAGTTAGGGATTTATGTTAAAATTACTCAAGCTTACTCTAGCTCGATGGGTTAGTATGCAGACAGAAATATTGCTTAATTGTTCCAATACAAACCTGTGCAAAAATTAGTTCAGAAAATGTGCATGTTTCTAGAGTAAGGCGATACGACTTGGTGGATGTGGCTGGTTTGTCACAGAAGGCCTAGGGTTTCAAGTTTGCGTGAGGTTACACTTATAATTTTTAAAGCAAATATGCATTAAATATTTCGTTGTTGGTGTAGAGATTTGAACATGTAGGTCAATAGCGGTTGAAAATTGGGCGTGGTAAATATTTCTTTTGAACGCCAGTCCACTGCATCGAAAGAAAAATAATGTAGATTTTAATTCACACAGAATCCAGCCCCCACTTTTACCGGTAGTGAATGATAATTGAGAGGAAGTAGCTTCAGGTTGTTGACAGCTAGAGTATTTGGAGTTTTCGGTAATTCTGGCCACCTAATACGTTCCCCATTTCTAAAAATGCGAATTGTGTCTGTAGTCTAGTACATTGTCAGTTTGTGCATTATATGTGGTAATAGCTATGATAATATTAGTAATATATCTCCATGTGCTGCAAAAATACCAAGTGTTTTCAGGTACTTTGAGGTATAATTTTATTTGAGAAACTTATTTTTATAACAGGATTTGTGTCTAAATTAGGCGGTGTGAGGTTTAAAGTGTTATGTGTTTAAGTGGAACATAGAACATCCCATTTATGGCAAACTAATAGTCCATTCCACATTATACTGTTGGAAGTGTATGTAAGTTTCATTTTATGTATTTTGTATTATGCCATTGTGGATTTTATTGATGTTTGAAGAGTGGTTTTGTATACAGTACTGGTATGATGCTGTAAGGTTTAGATTGTGAAAATGTATCATAGTTTACTGTTAACTGCAGGAAGTGTTGTTATGTATATGTTGTTTTAAATTATCTTAAGGATAAACTGACAATCCCTTACTTTGCATTATTTTCTCTTTGTTGTTGCTACTTTGGTGTTTTATTTTGTTTATGCAACAGTCTCTTTGGACAAAATGAGGGTCATTTTGTGGAAATTGTGTTTCTCCGTTTTTCTTAAATATTCAGTTATGTTGCATAACATCTAATTAGATAAAGTTTTGTATTAATGTAATCCTTTGCAAATTTTGACAGCTGGAAAAACAGTTCTCGAGATTTTATATATGAACTTATATAGAATAGAACATAATAAAATTTATTTACATTCCATAGATCCATCATAGTATAAGCCAAGGATGTGGAACACATCATAAAATGAAATCACATTTTTATGTTTAAATTGATTTATATTTATTTTGTTATCACATGTCATGAAGTCTGTTTGTCAAAGTTTAAGGAACGTTTATTGGCTTTAAACCATTTGTTTAAGCTAGCAAATATATAATTAATGGAATCTTGTAAGTAATCAATTGCCAGGTGATGGTGGTGGTGGTGATGATGATACTAGTATTGTCAGTGATGAGTGTACATTTGGATTGACAATTGATTCTTGGGGGGTAGATTATTGTACCTGGATCTTGTTTGCTCTGTAGTTTGATTAATTTCTTTGTTAATAAATTCTTCTCAGCTTTGTTAAATTCAGATATATGTTTGATTGTACTTTCTTTATCAACATTTTAACTGCTTGCAGAAATGTGCTGGTTGCTTCTCATATTTGTGTTATTCTCATTTCTGAAACTGCATTTCAGTTCAGATTTCATGGCCTACTTTTCCTCTTTGTTATTAAAATGTGAGTACCTGATGTGGTCTACTTTTGTTATCTCACGCCCTCAGTGTGACAGGAATGTTGAAGAAATGTCATTTGAGATAAGTTGTAGTTCGGTGGTTGCAGGATGGGTTTGACATATGATCACATCTATTCAGCTGAGGTAGCGTACTGGCTTAGTTTATTGGGAACTATTAACATTCACTTGCATTATAAAGTGTTTAGCCCTGAAAATATTTAAACAAACCTACACCAGTTTCATTATGAACATAAGAATTCACCATCTAACTAAATCACACCCCATCATACAATTTCACACCTCATCTTCTCAGTGTAATTTAATAATATACCCATGTCATCAGCACGAAAAGGAATCTCTCCTCCAATTTCATGTAGTTTCATTAAAGATTGATTCATTCTGTAAACTAGCCAGTATACAACAAACATGTCCTGGAAGAATGTGATCAGGACTTGAGAAGTACATCGGTAACCAAACAGCACCCTAGTTTCAGCATGTGTGTATTATAATTTGAATTACTGAGATATTTCTTCTTTATATTGTCATAAGGTATGATTTACATATTTATTGCTTGGTTGTTACTGGTTCAGCTACTTACATAAATGTCAGCCTTATGTTTTAATATGTTTTTATATATTTAGTTTTAATAACTTCTGTTAGTTAGGCTTGCTTG